AGGAAAACCTATTGATTCTGGAATATGTAATTTCTCATAATAATAATAAAAAAAGAATACAGTGACATTGTGTATCAGTTTTACATTCTTCCTCTTGATGTACCTCTCCACTGGAACAGAGATCTCACCTCACAGCTTATTCATAGCGCTCTCTTGTTGCTCATGAGGCATCTGGGTAATGGCTGAGAGTATAGGCCCACCTCTTCGAGAAACCCCTGGGGCCAGCACTGTAGCACAGCCAATTAAGCTGCCCCCCTGTGATGCCAGCATTCCTTCTATATGAGTGCCAAAGTCACAAATGCCAACTTCCAAACCTGTCTCTGTTGATGCTCCTGGGAAAATAGCAGAGGGTGGCCCAAGTACTTGGGCCCCTGCCATCCACATGGGACATCTGCATGGAGTTTCACTCCCATATGGGGAGTGAACCAGTAGATGGAACAGATCTCTCTCTCTGTTGCTATGCTCTTCTAAATAAATAAATGCATTTTTAAAATCTTTTTTAAAGATTTATTTATTTTTATTGGAAAGTCAGATATTCAGAGAGGAGAAGAGACAGTGAGAAAGATCTTCCGTCCGATGATTCACTCCCCAAGTGAGCACAACGGCCGATGCTATGCTGATCCAAAGCCAGGATCCAGGAACTTCTTCTGGGTATCCCACACAGGTACAGGGTCCCAAAGCTTTGGGCCGTCCTCGACTGCTTTCCCAGGCCACAAGCAGGGAGCTGGATGGGAAGTAGAGCTGCCAGGATTAGAACCAGCGTCCATATGGTATCCCAATGCGTTCAAGGCGAGGACTTTAGCTGCTAGGCCACGCCGCCAGGCCCAAATAAATGCATTTTAAAAAGAAAGAAAGACCATATGTTCCAACTACATTCATTAACTGATAAAGATCTGAAGCCCAAAGCAATAAAATGGCCATGTTCTAAGTCGCAGAATAGCAAATTCAAAATTGAAGTAAGTCACTAGGTTACCAAATCAGGGGTTTTTTAATTACAAAACTTTAGGGAAATTTTAAAGTACATAATAATAAAAGTGAAAACTATACATGCATTGTTTTTTATACAAATTTTGGGCCCAGCATGATGACTCAATTGGCTAATTCTCCATTTGTAAGAGCTGGGATCTGGTGCTGGTTCCTGTCCCAGCAGCTCCACTTCCCATCCAGCTCCCTGCTTGTGGCCTGGGAAAGCAGTCGAGGACGGCCCAAAGCCTTGGGACCCTGCACCCATGTGGGAGAGCCAGAGAAACTCCTGGGTCTTGGCTTTGGATCAATAGTTTTGGCCATTGTGGCCACTTGAGGAGTGAATCAGCAGGTGGAAGATCTTTCTGTCTATCCTCTCTATAGATCAACATTTCCAATAGAAACAAGTAAGCCTTATAACAAATTGATTACCAAATAAGCATTTTAAACCTTTTTTATTAATATATTCACATATTTTAAGCATCTTTCCCCATCAATAAATATGATTCTGCTTCAGTATCTTTCATATACGGTTATCCCCAGCACCATAATGTATCCATTCCTTACTGTCCAATATTTTATTTGCTTCTGTATGAAAAAAATAATAATCATAATTTTTATGAATATAGCTTTTATTTCTGGATTAAAAGATTTTACTTCTAATTATAAGCTGTCAGTTATCCACTGAAGTATGCTTTAGATGATTTCTTGAATTTGCTCAATAAATTCTTCCTCAGTGCATCTCCTTTGCCATCTCCTTGTAAGACAGGCACTTACTACTTATTGAAAGTAAATATTTCTAGGCAATAAATTTCAGTTTCACAAATTGACAAATATAGGGTGGTGGATCTTGCTGGTCAGGGTCTCAATTGTAGGATTTGGGTTTCCTTGGTAACAGCAAAATGACAGGGAAGAATTTGTGGTGTGTATTTGGAGTATTTCTGGAAAGCAGGCAAGACTGTCATCAGATAGCGTATGTATTAAGGTATAATTTAAAAGTCAAAAAGACTTTACAACTAATTAGTTAGGAAATGTGTATTAAGCATCTATTCTGTTCCAGACACATGGATAAGGCAATGGCAATAGGCATTGTGCAGAGTGAAACAATCTAATAGAGAAAACTGACATCAATCGGATAATCATCCTATTAATATGTAAGGACAGGGAGAAGCTCTCCAGATCAGAAGAGCGTGGTCCTGTGGGCTCTGTGAGCAACCTAGAGTGGAGTCGGCAGCAGCTTCCCCAAGGAAGTGATACTTAGCTGAGCTCAAAGGTGAATAGGCACTAAAGGAGTGGAAAGGGACATTTAGAGGTCCCAAAAATAGAAGAAGCGTGACAAATAAAGCCTGAAAGAATGCCAGTAACGTTAGAACAGAGAGAAGGGAGGACAGACCAAACAGGTTCCATGCAAGCTATGCAAAAAGAACTGGTTTGGGAGGTGATTTTAGGGGTGGTAGAAGCCACTGAAAAGTTAAGCAGGGGATCACATGGTGCTTTCATGTGTCAGGGACGTCTTCATTCAACATACATGAAACCCAACTTCAATATCTTTTTCTTTTTCTTTCTTTCTTGCCTTTTTGCTTTCTTGCTTCCTTTTCATTTGAAAGGTAGAATGACAGTTACCCACTGCTTCACTCCCCCAATGCCCACAACAGCTGGGGCTGAGCTAATTGGAAGCTGAGAGCCCAGAACTCAATCTGCATCTCCCACATGGATGGTGGGGACACAAGAACTTGTCTCCCTTGGTGCATATCAACAGAAATGAGGAGTTGGAAGCAGTCAGTGCCTTAACCCAGGCCCTCTGGTAGGATATGCAGATGGCTCCCATGGTACCACAACCACTGAAGTAAACACCGGCCTCTCTCCCTGTTTCTCTTCTTCCGGTTTTTGTTACTGGCACAACTGTTTCCCTAGTTATTCCACTTAAAACTGCCCTCTCTCCCTGTATGAGTCCAATCAGTTGTCAGTTTATTCCTGAATTTACCTTGTTCTATCTCCATGGCAGTAAATACATTCAGTGTTGTCCCTCTTGTCTATCAGCTCAAACCCTTCCCCTGGCCTGGACACTTACAGTCTTACACTCACTGGCACTGCATTGTCTCCCGTGCACTGTCACATTGCCCCCCAGAGACACTGAGGATATGTCCCTACCCACCCTTCAGGGTCCACTGTGACACCTGGCAGTGTCACCTCACCTTCCTCTAATACTCCAGCACTTTGATTTCTTTGAATTCTGATCTTAGGTAGCCTGAATGGTGAGCTTTTGATCTCCTGTTTTTCATTTCCTGTGATAGACAGTGACTGGCACATGGTCCTGCTCAGGAAAGCCTTGATTATGATGGATTGAGAGCAAGGCTAACATGGACTCATGGATCCACTTCGAGCTGACTCCCCTGAGGCCCCCAAGTGAGGAAGCAGCAGAACAGATTTGCACAGTGTTAGGCCCTCACTTCCGGGGTGCAACGGTCCAGTAGAGAAGGGCAGGGAGAACTTTATTGTTTAGCCTGTTAAAGACATGGACCTTTCGGGCCTGGCGTGGTGGCGCAGTGGTTAAGGTCCTTGCCTTGCACGCCCGGGATCCAATATGGGCGCCGGTTCTATCCCGGCAGCCCCACTTCCCTTCCAGCTCCCTGCCTGTGGCCCAGGAAAGCAGTGGAGGACGGCCCAAAGCTTTGGGACCCTGCACCCGCGTGGGAGACCCGGAAGAGGCTCCTGGCTCTGGATCAGCATAGCATCGGCCGTTGTGCTCACTTGGGGAGTGAATCATCGGACGGAAGATCTTCCTCTCTGTCTCTCCTCTCTGTATATCCGCCTTTCCAATGAAAAATGATAAAAATAAATCTTTAAAAAAAAAAGACATGGACCTTTCTGAACGATTTGGAAAATCAAAGCAGAAGATGTGAGTGACATTGGCAAGTACCTTAGAGGACTGTTAATAGGCAATGCGTTTATGATACGCATGCAGAGAGGCAACATCCCTAGTAATCCAGGAGAGCAAAAGAGTAGTTGTGATCTTGACTGCATAGATTGGGGTGTGGAGTTTCCTGACTACCTAATGGAGGAGTCCTCTAAAAACCAGAGTTCATTCTAACTTTAAAAGTAGATACTGAGTGAGGATTATCCATGGGTGGGTTGCACAAGGAACTTACTAACAGTGCTTTGGCCTAAGCTTTGAGTTTTCCTGTGGGGAAGAAAAGAAACTGTGGACCTGAGATCTCCAGTTATCTCAAAATAGCAGAGATGTGGGACTCCCGGGCCAGGTTGTCTTCAGGACAGAAAGGAAGACAGGATGCCTTTTTACTCATGTTGTGTTTTCCAGATCATTCAGCACCATTAATCCCAGTTTTTTTATGTTTTCCTCATGACAATCCTATGAAGTACCATGAGCAATAGGCCTCATTCTGTAGATGGGAAAACACAATCATGAGACCAAGTCAAAAGTCGAACAAGGGTAGGCATTGGTTTATTATTATTATTGCAAAGGCAGATTTACAGACAGAAGGTAGAGACAGAGAGAAAGATCTTCTACTCACTGGTTTACTCCCCAAGTGACTTTAACAGCCAGAGTTGAGCCAATTCGAAGTCAGGAGCCAGGAATTTCTTCTGGGTCTCCCACACGGATACAGGGTCCTAAGGCTTTGGGCCGTCCTTGACTGCTTTCCCAGGCCACAAACAGGGAGCTGGATGGGAAGTGGAGCAGCTGAGATATGAACTGGCGCCCATATGGGATCCCAGCACACACAAGGCAAGGATTCCTGCCTGGTCCCTGGCTCTGGCCTCTACCTAACCTGGCTACTGGGGAAGCGCAAATGGGTGCTTTGTCTTTTCTGTCTCTCTCCCTCTTAGGTAGATAGATAATCAATTCATGGTCTTATGACTCTTCAGTATATACTGTTTCTACTCCACCATGCTATTGAGTTCTAAGGGAGGAAGAAACTATTCAATCATATCTGCCACTTTGGAAAATAGTTGAAACTGATTGACCCAACATGTTTAGCCATTGGCTGAATCTGAGCTCCTCTTCTTTTCATGTACAGAGCCATGGGGGTGTTGATGTCCAAGCGGCAGACAGTAGAGCAGGTACAGAAGGTGAGCCTGGCTGTGTCTGCCTTCAAGGATGGGCTGCGGGACAGGCCTTCCATCCGACGTTCAGGTGACCTGCCGGGATCCCGCCGTGGGACCGTAGAGGGTTCTGTTCAGGAGGTACAAGAAGAGAAAGATGCAGAAGTCGGCACCATGGTGATCCAAGAAGAAAGCAGCGTCAACCGTGCAGCCTGGGAGAGGCTCCGACATGGCCGTGGGATAGAACCCGAGGAGTTGGTCAAAAGTCGACATTTCACACCCCCCGCCTTCACCCGCCCCACCAGGAAACTGGACGATGACAAGCCTCCAGACATCTCCTTAGAGCCCAGAGAGCCCGTGAGTGTTCCGGGGGGCGGGGTGGGGGAAGGAGCCTTGAGCAGCCCTCCTGAGAATCAGGGAGACCTGAGTGTGTGGATGAGGTGAGACTCAAAACCAGAGATGTGGAGCTGAGTCTAGAACAATTTTTGAAATCACTTCCACAAGAATAAAAGTCCTAATTACATCCTGGGGGAAGCCTTGGTAAAAATTGTGGGGCACTAAGTGATAAGGAGAGACACTATGGCAGGTCTTCTGTCAACCACAGGTTCTCAGCTACAGTACCAGTCCCTGTAGGAGGCATCTGGAAATTGAGGAGGGGAAAATACAGGGAGGTCAAATGCCTGGATTTCACCATTGGCATTTATTGCCAAGAAAATCAGGAATGCTACATATCTTGCAATGCCTGGGACCATCTCTCGTAAGAGATTCTTCCTCCCTCCACCCCTGCCCCCCAAATGCCAACAGTGTCCCTATTCAGGAACATGACCCCAAAACCTTTAGTAACTGGGAGAGCCCCCTGGTTCTTGTCCTGTGGAAAGAAGGCTCTGTCGTGCTAACCCTGCCTTCAGCTTCAGCTGTCCCTCCAGGCTACCCCAGGGACACTCAGCCCCATGCACGTAGCTCTGTGCTTAGTGGCCCTAGTTTCTGGCTGCCAGCCCTTCAATCTCATCGCCATTTACTCTCTTCCCAGGTTGTCAACGACGAGATGTGCGACATCTGCGAGGTCTGGACGGCTGAGAGTCTCTTCCCATGCAGGGTCTGCACCAGAGTTTTCCATGACGGCTGCCTGCGCCGCATGGGCTACATCCAGGGAGATGGTGCAGCGGAGGTGACCCAGATGGCCCACACGGAAACAGGCTGGAGCTGCCACTACTGTGTGAGCCTGCCCTGCAGGGTCCGCGGGCTGCTGCACAGCTGAGGCCTTGGCACTTGGCCTACAGGCCCAGGAACGCTTGCTTCTAGGAAGTGATCGCAAGAACTTCCTGATACTACAAGTACCCTGGAGGCAGGGTGGGGTTTCTCAGCCTTACTGTCGCTGACGTTTGAGGCTGGATGATTCTTTGTTGTCTCCCACAACACTGTAAAGTGTTTCTGTAGTGTTCCTGGCCTTTCTTCCACAAGGTGCCAGTAACACACTGCCCCTATTTGTGACAATCAAAAATATCTGTACAGAATACCAAATGTGCTCCAGGGCAATAGCAGGGAGTGAGGCAGAGGGCAGAGAACCACTGGGTTAGAGTGTCGAGGGGACAAAGTGGGGCTTATTGGACACACTCGTGAACAAGCAACCTGAGACCCTAACCAGGTTGCTTCCCACAGGGACACAGGCTGTCCCAGGGAAATGTCTCAGTCCTGACATCCTCACTTGACTCACCTCCTTGTAGAAGCATCTGTTCTTCATTTCTTAGGGATCATCATATAAATAGCAAAGTTCTGACTTTTAAATATGTCTGTGTTTGAAAGGTAGTGTTACAGAGAGAGGAGGAGACAGAGAACTCTTCTGCTGGCTTACACTCCAGATGGCCACAGGGCTGGATCAGGTCAAAGCCACGAGCCTACATGGGTGGCAGAGGCCCAGGCACTTGGGCCACCATCTGTTACTTTCCCAGGCACATTGGCAGGAAGCTGGATCAGAAGTAAATTGGCCAGGACTTGATCCACCACTCTGATATGGGATACTGGAATTATAGAGCAAGAAAGATCTTCCATTTGCTAGTTTACTCCCCAAATGACCGCAATGGCCAGGGCTAGGCCAGGCCAAAGCCAGGAGACAGGAGCTCTGTCTGGGTCTCCCACATGAGTTAGGGACCTGAGCACCTGAGTCATGTTCTCTGCTGCTTTTCCCAGATACATTAACAAGAAGCTAGATCAGAAGTGGAGCAGCCAGGACTTAAACTGGTACATACAGGATTTAGCACTTCATGCAGCAGCTTTAACTATGATGCTACAGCACTTGCCCCTGCCTTCCAGGTTTGGTTTATTTTTGTCATTGTTTTGGTGTTTTGTTTTCTTTTGTTTTGAGATTTATTAGGGTTTTTTTTTTTTTTTTGAATGGCAGATTTTACAGAGAAAAGGAGAAACAGATCTTCCATCTGCTGGTTCACTCCCCAGATGGCTGCAATGTCTGGAGCTGAGCAGGTTTGAAGTCAGGAACCAGGTCTCCCATGCAAGTACAGGGGCCCAAGACTTTGGGTCATCTTTGCTGCTTTCCCAGGCCATAAGCAGGGAGCAGGATGGGAAGTGGAACATCCAGGACATGAATCAGCCCCCATATGGGGTGCTGACGATGTAAGACCGGGGATTAGCCAATTCAGCTATCGTGCCTGCCCCTCCTCCTTCTCTTAAAACCTGTCCTTCCTCTGTTCTGTAACTGTTAATAGTAACAGCATTTCCCCCTTCCCATCTCTCAAATCTAGCAAGTCAACATGTCTACCGGTCCTACCTCTAATGGCTCTCACATTTTCCCCTTATTTCTTCTTATGCCTTACAAGCACATCATATCTTAGCTACATGATGTCTGTCTCCTGACTGGCCCTGCCCACAGACCATGCCTTCTGGCCCATTTTCCAACAAGCAGAGGCCTGACATGGCACCCCTCCCTACACACACACTTAAAAGTCCTTCAGTAACCTCCTTTGCCTTCATAATGAAAGCCTAATTGGCAGGGCTCAATGATGGGCATTTAAAGTGCTTCGAAGTCAGGCTTCCTCCTGTCCTTTATCACGCCTACCTCTGCTCCGCACACACACTCACTCATACCGTGCCCTCCACCACACTGAACTTGTCACAGTTCTTCATGCATGCCCTTGTGCTGCCCAGTATATACTAAAAGAATACAAAAGAATAGTTTGTATTCCTTATGATATTCACAAGTGAATACTCATGAAGTGTCAGTTCCTGTTTTTTACTGATGCTGTAAAGGAGGAAGGAGGGGGGCGGAAATCTGCTAGAGAGATGTGTGCCTTGAGGACTGCATAGTAATTTTAACAAATTATCAGTGCTCACTTGGAATTAAATCTTCTGTGGTACCATAAAAAAAAACCCTCACTTGGCAGGGAAGGCATTTGGCCTAGCAGTTAAGACATCAGTTGGCACTGCAGAGGGAGGCTTGCTGGGATTACCTGATGCCATGCACTCACAGCCTTCTACAGAGTTAAGCCTCTGACACCTCAGCGTCCTCCCCTGCTAACCCTATAGCCCCTTCAAGCTGTCAGCCGCTCAGCTGCTAGAGTTTCACAGATTAGGAACATGTGTTGGAATAAGGGTTGAGGGAGGGAGACGGCAGATTCCTGGTCCTGTGTGTGACAGGGGAGGTGTTGTGTGAGCCCTTACTGGAGCTGACGTGTCAAGGCTGGGTTGGGCTGGGTAGAGTAGCCAGTAGGCCTGCCCTGCTTTGGGGGTGGCTTAGTCATACCCTGCCTTGGACACATAGGAAAATTGCTGTCAAGCCCCAGGCCTGCCCACAGCCTCATCCCAGTGGTTCTGGCGCAGAATCCTGAAGCCTGGAAGTAGGACTTGAAGCAGTCACCCTCCCGCTGGAACTCCCTTAATGGAGTCAGGTCATCTCTAAATGGGCCCAACTTGGAGCCGTCGTGGACACAGGGACTGACGGCTGAGGGTGGCCTGGGGCCTGGCAAAGAGAATATCATAGGCCTAGGGCTGTAATGAGAGAGGACTAGGAATGTTAAGATCCACAAGAGTCTGTCAGAGAACCAGCAGTTAGCTAAATCTCTAAACTGAGTAAATTAGCTGGAAAGTACCCCCAGGTGGGCAGAGGGAGCAGTGGCTGAGCCACCTCCTAAGTGCCTAGGATGGAGTCTGGCACACTCCTGTTACAGCCTCCTGCCAGTGCCGCCCCCTCCTGGATGTGGCATGAAATGACCCACACCACTCACCTCTCCACATAGCTCCTTCCTGGCTTCAGTTCCCTCTGATCATTATGGGCTCTTGGGGCTACTGAACCAGCAGATGGATGCTCTCTTGAAACAGATTTTTTAAAAAGATTTATTTTTATTCTTACTGGAAAGTCAAATATATAGAGGGAGAAGAAACAGAAAGGAAGATCTTCCCTCCATTGATTCATTCCCCAAGCAGCCACAAAATCTAGAGTTGAGCCAATCAGAAGCCAGGAGCCAGGACAGGAGCCTCTTTTGGGTCCCCACGCGGGTGCAGGGTCCCAAGGCTTTGGGCCATCCTTGACTGCTTTCCCGGGCCACAAGCAGGGAGCTGGATGGGAAGTAGAGCCACCGGGATTAGAAGCAGTGCCCATATGGGATCCTGGTGCATGCAAGGCAAGGACTTTAGCCACTAGGCCACCACGCCAGACCCCCAAACAAAAAAATTTGTTTAATAAATTAAGTTGTTGGTTGGGACACCTGCATTCCATATCGTAGTAACTGGTTTTCAGTTCACCCTCCATGCCTGAGTCCAGCTTCCTGCCGGCACACCCTGGGAGATGGGGGGTAATGGCTCCTGAAGCTCGATCCACTCCTATAGGAGACTTGAATTGAATGTCTATCTCCCACGTTCTCCCTGGCCTGGCCCTGGTCACTGCAAGTATTTGGTGAATGAACCAGTGAATGAAGATCTCTCTCTCCCTCCCTCTCCTCCCCATCCCCCATGTCAAGTAAACACAATTTTTGCAAAATATCTCACTTGGGATTTGGAAGCTTGTCATGATGACATCTCTTTCAAACCATTCTGGGGTTATTTGAAGCGATCCAGTCCACCAGAAGCAAGGTAAAATTTTGGGTTCTAACTTTGAACACAACCTATTATCAAAGCCAGATACATAATGTGGACAGAGATGGAGCTGCTCTGGTGGACGGAGCGGGAGAGCCACAAGCTTGCCCACCCCTCATCCCGTAAAGCAGCTTCCCACGGCCCTTCCAGGAAGCCCCTAGACTGGCTTGGGGCCTGTGTCAGCTGGAGTCAGGGTAACTAGGTAGGTTCTGGGGGACATTCTATCCTAGAATTACCTGAGCAAGGCATGTCCCCCTCCTGGGGCCTCTGTCTTCTGAACATGAGCAGGGGACACGAATTCCCCCAGATTAGAACTGCCTTCCCATGGAAGTATTACGTGTTCCCATCCATCCTGGCACTTTGCCTTTCTTCCTGGTCTGCGTGGCCACTGACTCAGCTCTCCCTGTTTTCAGGACAACCTCAATTTGCTGCTGACTGAGGAAGAAATGTACAGCCTCACAGAAACATTTCAGCGGTGTAAAGTCATCCCTGGTAAGGCAGATGGTGCATCCAGGATGGAGCAGACCTGGGATGGTTCTCCTGGTGTCTGGAGGGACCAGGAAAGAGTTCAGGGGAGGAGAAGAAAGGCTCCTTGTTCCCAAGTTGCTGGCCAGAGGAGTCCCTCACCCCATCCTACCCCAACCCCTCAACCTGCACAGCCTGAGTCACCCTGGCTATGAGAGACAGGGACTTGAACAGAGCTATGGTTATTGGCCACTGAGCGTGTCCCAGAGGTAAGCAGAAATGCCCAAAGCTGAGCAAGGGTGGGCATGACCAGCAAGAGGCACTTCCCACAGATTGCTCCCTGACGCTGGAGGACTTCCTGCGCTTCCGTCACCAAGCAGCGAAGCACGGAGAAAGTGACAGGGCCCTGAGTGAGGAGCAGGAAGAGCAGGCGGCCCGCCAGTTTGCAGCCCTGGACCCTGAACATCGAGGCCACATAGAGTGGCCTGACTTCTTGTCCCACGAGTCCCTCCTGCTTCTGCAGCACTTGCGTCCTCAGGTGAGCCCCAGCTAGACTGAGAGCCCATGAAACACTGGGTGACAGAGGCCTGGGGATGTGCAGGGCAGGTGGGGGAGCATTGAGTGTTACCTGAGCTGGGGCCAATACCAAGAATGGGATCTACCTTCAGTCTATGCTACGGGACCCAGGGCCTCAGCTGGGGAAGCCACCCTAGGAGGAAAGATCAGCACTGGGCCAGGCGCTGCCAGAAAGACCCTGGGCAACTTCTAAGGGAGGCTGCAGTCTCACCTCGAAGGTCTTAACTCATCTCTTTTTGCCGCCCAGAACTCTCTGCTGAGGCTTCTGACCAGCAAGGAACGGGAACGAGCCCGGGCTGCCTTCCTGGCAAGGGGTAGTGGGAACACCATCAGCGAGGCTGAGTGCCGCCACGCCCAGCACTCTTGGTTCTGCAAACGCCTCACTCAACCTGCTTCCGGCAGTGTCAGGTCTGCTCTGCTCCATTCCCCTGCCTGCCCCACCCCAGCCTCTCCCAAACCCTCCTCTGTGCATGCCACAGTGGTCTCTCCCATAACAGCCACAAAAAGATCCTTTGTATGTATGAAGAACAGTGAGTGGTCCCAGCCAGGGCACAGAGCAGATGGTAACATCTTTGCTGATCTGTGGCAGAAGAGTCACTGGTTCACCAGCATTCAGAGGAATCAGACCTTTCCCTTCTGGGCTTCTAACCAATTGTCCTTGTGCCCAGCAGTGTCAGCCATGTGGGTCCCATTGCAGACAGCAGCCCTGCCAGCAGCAGCAGCAAGAGTCAGGACAAAGCCCTGCTGCCCACAGAACAGGAGGCCAGGTGAGTGGTCCCCTAACCCAGCAGGCTTTACCCCTGGCCCCCAAATGTGCACAAATCTAGGGAAAAGGAGACATAGTGCACCCCAACCCCAGAACTGCCAACATCCATCTCAGAATCCAGGTTCTGAAAGCCCACGGTCGGCCCCCTAAGTCTCAGGCCAGCCAGCTGATCTGCCGGCCTGCTGCACAGCCCACAGTAACCATGTCACACAGCACCCAGAACTTCCCCAAGCCCTGAGTAGCTGAGCCATGCTGCCAACAGAATCCTGTCTTGTGAGCCTTCCTGCCCTTTCCTTCCACCCCAGATACGTGGACTGGCCCACCTTCCTGCGAGAGAATGTCATATACATCTTGGCCGCCCGCCCCAACAGTGCTGCCATTCACCTGAAACCCCCGGGATAGCATGGAGTGGACAACGGCGTCCTTTCCCGCCTTTCCTCTCTCCCTGCCCCCCACCAACCTCTGGCGCTGACACCCACAGTGAAGGGGTACTGCCAGCCTCTAAATTTGTCACGAAGCTTTGCAGCACAACACATAACATAACCTGCCCCTCACAACAGAGGCAGGAAGTGCATTGCCACAGGAGAAGCCCCGGGAGCTGTGTGGCACCAGCTCTCCAGCAACCCCTCTGCCCTCACATCACAGACTGAACCTGCTGCCACATGCATATACACACATGTGCACACACACATACATTCACACACACACACATACCCAGCTGTCTACGACTCCAGAAAGCCTGGCTATTCTGGGTTTAGTAAGGATCAAAGTCCCTTTGTGAAGCCCCTGTCAGATTAGGGGCTCTCTACTCACCCCTTCTATTGACCAGTCCTGATTCCCAGTAGAGAGGTATCTGAACAAGGGGCAGGCCAGATCCACATGCCCTCCTGGAGATGCTCACAGGCTCTGCCCCCAGGGACGGCTTCACCCACTGGGGAGGGGTACTGTGGGGAGGAAGGATCTGAAGACCACTGCTGCACTTCAACCCGTGACTAAACTCCGATTCTTGGGACTTCTGAAAGAGAAGACTGTCAGTGTGTTGGCATCCCTTCCCAGAGCCCCAGATGTCTAGTAACCTTTCAGCCAGGCCATCCGCCATCTTGTAGTCCTTGGCAGGACATTCAGCGTGAGCCTTCCTGGTGTTCTGTCCCAAGTGGCAGCTCGTGGCCTGGAGCTCCTGGGGCCCGAGAGACCAGATGCCCTGGCAGGAGTCATGGTCCTCGACGTTAGACGCTTTACCCATGGAGACCAATGAGGACAAGATCTAGATGGAAGAGGAAGGGCGGGAGCTCCTTCGTGGCCATCGCTCCAGCTCAGCTCAGTTACAGTCCCAGAAAAAATGTGCAGAGAACAGGGCCAGCCTCTTGCATGGTCCATGAAAGCAGTTCTGAAGGAGCCCTGGGCATGGCCTCCATTCTGCCCTCTGAGGTGCAAGGTGAGCTGCTGGAGCCCAAAAGGAAGGTGTGCCACTCAGCTTCCACAAGCAGAAAAGATCCTGCAGAGTCTCACAGGAGAGGAAGGGTCCCCCTTCCCCATCACGGAGACCCCTGAGTTTCTGCCTCTTCCTGTGCTCCATGTCCTCCTCCAGCAGGCCGGCGCCTGGGCCACAGCTTGGGAAGGTTTAGGTGGCAAGCAGAGGTGGCCAGTGGTGGCCTTGCTTCCTCAGTCCTCAGGCTGTCACATCATTGTGTGTTGTGGGTCAGGGCTGGCCCTGGGCTGCAGGTTCTAGATTTTGGTTTCCAGTCTGATGACCCACAGCTCTCCAAGAGGAAGCTGAGCTCAGTCACACAGAAGCTGCTGCATCCAACTCCAGGGCTCCAGGCACTTGTGCTAAATTGGGAGCTTCCCGTGCTAGGAGGCTCAGAGCAAAGGGAAGCACTGCAGGCAGGGGCTTGGTTAGAGTTGGTGGCGGCTCCTCCCATCAGAATGCCTGACCTCGAAGAACAGCAGAAGCTGCCGGGCTTGGATTACTCCAGACTGGAAGGAAGCAGACAGTCAACAAATCTAGGTCCTTGCCTATGGCCCTGAGCAACGCATAACCCATGGCTTTTTGTAAATACTCAGCTATACTTCCAAAAATTACCAGTGAGGGGCAGTGATTCAGTCTAGAAGGAAGCATGGGCCTATGGACTGCGTCCAACTCAGCCAGGCCTTGATTTTGCATGGAGAATAGAAATGCGCATGGGCACACACTGACTTTGCTTACTGTCCCAGTGAAGGACCCTGCCCGCCAGGGGCCTTGCACAGCTTGCCTTCACGGACAGAGCATTCTGAATAGAGATAAGCCCTGAACAGCTCTTCTCTTTTTTGCCTCCCCCTCAGTCCCAGGGACATGAAGTTAGTCTCTCTCCGTCTCTGTCCATAACCCGTCACAAATCAAGGCAAGGCCTTTTGCTCCATAGTGGCTGCCTCTGGACCTCTATAGTGAGAGGCCATGGGTAGGTGGGGCCAGAGGAGCCCAGGGCCTGATGAAACAGACCGACCCTGAGGCTCCGTGATAGGGGCAGGCCCATTTGGGATCACCCCTTCCTATCGCAAGACAGCAGACCCTTGGAGGACAGGAGTTATTGCAGAACACCCAGGGGACACCAGGCTGCAGAGATGGAGTTCCCAGTCTGTGAGAATGCAAGAACAGCACAGCAGCCAGAGAGAAGCCTGCTATTTACCAAAGGGGGTTCCCATTGCTCACCCTGGCCTTCCTATCTAGGGTCTCCCTTTCAGTGTCCTAGCCCCCAGGATCCCCCTGCAGCAAGTGTGGGGACGCCTAGATGTCTGTGAACCCAGGAATGCCCATCTCTACTGATTCCCGAGCCCCTTCATCACTGTGAATGTCTGAACTTCTGCCAAGGACTAAGCCTAGTGGCTCTGGGAGAACGTTCACTATTGTCTTGGCTGCCCAAAACTGCGATCAGCACTTTTGTCAAGTACCCCGCTCCCCCAAGGGGGATCCTCGGGTTATATGTGTGCTCCCTTGAAGTGCACTAGCTCTACATGTGGTTGTCACTTGGCAGTCCTCTTTCCCCTGTTCAGATGCAAACAAAGCACCAGGTGGAGGGCACAGAGAGCTGCAGGAGCAGAGGGCTCACTAAGGGAGCGATTGTGGCAGGTAAGCTCTCCAGGTATGCCAGCCTTCCCCCACAAAACATTTGAGCTGCCCCTGCCCAATCCCAGGGATGGAGTGGTTACATTCCCAGGTACTAATCCAACTCTCAAGTGCTCTTCCTTCGAGGACAGCTGCAGCAGAAGCCATGAGTACATCGCCTCTTTCTGCCCTTAGCGCAAAAGACTGAGGCTTGCAAGGTGGACACTGTCCTTCCAGGCCTGCAGGTACCCTAGGAGGTGTCACCCTGGCCTTGTTTAAATGTTCAGCTCTTGGGGTTCTCCCATTCCTATCACCAATATGAAAAGCACAGACTCAAACTGCCTGGGAAGAAGGTATCACACTAAGAAGTGAGTCCCCAGGGCTCTGCCCAGGCCTCTTAGCCCAAAGCACAACTCCGGCCACTTCAGGTATCGGCGTCTGTAGAAATGATGACAGGCAGCTCAGCAGAAGCTGTTGGCAGGGTTCCAAGTCAACCATGTCCACCTCAGAGCCAAGAGTTACCACTGGGCAGGACTAAGAACTGACACAGGATCTAGCCATCCTGCAGCCACAACCCCTTCAAACCAGCAGAAGAACAGCAGATACACACTTGGCGTAAACAGGACAGCCTGGTGGAACCTGTAACCGTCATCCCATTCTACATTTCTATGGAATCGAGTTGCTGTGCTCTTCATGCCACTTGGTTTTGAGTTTGTCCACCAGTGAGGTGGAGTATGGAGTCATCTCTAATCAGGACCAGGGACTAAGAAACCCAGACTGATGCCAGTTGGTGAAGCCCTGGGGCTGATATAACCCCTAGCCAGAACAAGGCACAGATACCAAGGCCTTAGAGGATGGCTCATGATCCATGTCCCAGCCAAACACTGGCTGCACCCTAAAACCATCTGAGTAACAGTGGAAGACTCAAGGCCCTCTGTCCCGCCACCCCCCCCCCCCACGCTCATCCTATGAGCCCTTGCGGAAGGTAACTTGACAGGAAGCTGAGGGGAACATCCCCAGGCCCTGTCTTCCCATCCCTGCAGCTGCATGCTTACACCATGTGGCTCAGCCTCCACGGGCTCTCCAGTAAGAGCTGGCACTCCTAGAGGCTGGGCACAGTGGAAATCATAATAAAGAAATTGTCATGCTGTGTCACTGGCCTGTTTCCTGTTGTTTGGGGGTCTTCCCCTTTCTTTGTGGTTTCCCATCATCAACTAGTTCCTGACTAAGTGTAAGGGACAGATCTGGCCTCCAAGAACATAGCACAACACATGTGGCTTTCTAGAGCTCTCCTGACTCTGCACTCCAACAATCAAGTCATGGGTAGCACAGGTTCAAGCTGCAGCTGTCCCTGTGTACACCACAGGGATATAGAAGGGAAGTGGCAGGGGAGGAGGGAGCATAGAGAGATTAAGGAGGATGTCATAAGGTCTTGGAGCCCGCCATATGCTGTCTCCACCCCTCCCCAAGGCCCAGTATTAGACACTTCCTAGTCCTTGATGAGCTACAAAATAGGGAAGCTAGTTGACTAGAAGCTAGTTATCCTGGTCTTTTGGGTCCTCCCAGATCTGAGCGCTGAGCCCACTCCACCAAAATATTTAATGTTGTTTTAGCATACTAGGATAAGATTGGGAAAGCTGGGGTCTGGGGAAGCTTTTGAAGAACTGTGGAATCTTCATCCCTTCTATCTGGTCAGAACAGAGTCAGAACCTGCAGCCGGGAAGGGACCTCGAAGCTGCAGATGCTCTACCTCCCAAACCTCAGAAGGTCCCAAGTACAAATGATTAATGATTTAGGCACTCGACGTGTGCTGAGCAGTTCTGAGCCCTTAGCGCAGAGTAATTAATCTTGAACCCCATGAGATTTGTATTGCAGATGAGAAAAAGGAGGAAGGCTGTTTCTCAAGGGTACACAGTCACACAGCACACAAGTGGGAAGACCAGGAAGTTCACCTTCAGTGCCGATGTTCTAGGCACGTGACTGTTGCCTGCCAAAATTACGTCTCAAGGGAGCCTCTGCTGTACGGTCTGACACCTCCCCTTTCCACCTCTAGGAATAGACGCAGACAACCAGACCTGTAGTTATGTCACAGATTTTTAACAGCTGCAGAAAGCCAAACTACTCACTCTCCAGGTGCCCTAAAGTTTTCCCATGGGGATCTATCCAAGAGCTTGATGGTATCCCACCAGCCCTTTCTTGTCTCCACATTCATCAAAGGCGAACAAAGGTGAGTCTCTGTGTGTCCTGTGATGAACAAGGTTTCCCATTGAGCCCATTGGACCTTCAGGCCCTCCCAGTACTTCTCTTCCCACAAGCTGCCAGTTACTGCTAGAGCTGCCTGGAACCTCAGCTCTACAAAAATCTCCTCCCACAGGGGCCATTGCAATGGA